CCCCCCCCTGACCGCTGCAGACGCTCAGGATGCCCCGGGTGTCTGCGACCCTCCGTGGCAGGGCAAAGCCACGGGGGCGGGCCGGGAACGCCACGCCGGCCCCAGGGAACCAGACAGGTGAGGACTGGGGCCGCGGGTCTCAGCGCCCTTTTCATAGACGGAGAAGCGGAGGGGCGAGGGGCTGCCGTGCTGGGGACCGTGTCCAGGAAGGGGGCGTGCGTCGCACCGCCAAGGCCTCCTCGAGAAGGAACTTTCCCGACTTCCCACCGATGCAACGGGCGACCCCTAACTGAGCCGAAACCGGCGGCGAGCGACTCGAAAGCAGGCGGCGGGCATCTCCTAGCGTTTGCACGAGTTCGGCGATAGTGGCCCCGTCGCCGTCCCGAACGCCTGCGGAAGTCGGAACCGGCTTCACCTTGGCGGGGTGCGCGGCCCGGGGGCGGAGGGAGCTGCCGGGGTGGCCTCTGGGTGGGAGAGAGGTGTTAACCTTTGAAGTTCTTCAGTGACTACTCCAACCTCACTTTGTAAAACGGGAAAGTGAGCCTGTGAGAGTGGAGAGGCTGAGGTCATCCAGCTGCCCCGGCCCTGGGTTGCGCCTAGGATGTCAAGAGAGGTCTCTGGAAGGCGGCAAAGCGACTTTTAGGTGTGTCGTATCTAAAATGTGCTTAAGAGGGTTTTGTTTTGCTTTTGGTGTTGGTGGTGTGTGTGTTGTGTGTTTTGGTTTTTTGAGACACGGTTTCTCTGTAGCTTTGGAACCTGTTCTGGAACTAGCTCTTGTAGACTCAGTGCTGGGATTAATGGCTTGCGCCACCACCGCCCGGCCTCTTTAAAAGGGTTCTAATCTCAGTTTTGGTAAATCTGAGAAACAACCAAAACTGAACCTCTCATTTCTTCCAAGAGCTCCATCCTATGCAGCCAGGAGGTGTCTCTGAGGAGGGCTTGGTCCCATTGCTCTGGAGGTAGCATTGCTCTCACCTTAGTGTTGTGGTTCTCAACCTTCCTAATTTAGCCACGACCCTTTAATACTGCTCCTCAACTTGAGGTGACTCCATAACCATAACATTATTTTGTTGCTATTTTGTAACTGTAATTTTGCTACTGTTATGAGTCTTGTGTTTTCTGATAAATATCTGTGATTTCTGATAGTCTTGTGAAAGGGTCTTTCGACTTCCAAAGGTGTCCAGACACGGGTTGAGAACTGCTGCTCTAGTGGATTTGATTTGTCTGACACCGTCCCAGAGGGCCACCAACCCCACAGGTGTGCTTAGTTTTAGCTTCCTAATTGTTAATCCACAGGATTACCTGTGTGTTTATGGAGACCAGCCCTGGGTCAGGTAGTACTGGAGAAAAGGGGCGTTCCAGTGGTGAGCACCTTCTGCCTGGAGGAATAGGTCACCAACTAGAAAAGGTGGCCCGAGGGTGGCCTGAGGCCCTGCTGACTTTGCATACAAAAGACTATTTGCATAGGGAATCTGAGGAGAAGGTCAAGAGACTTTTGGTTGTCCCTGGCCCTGTCTGGCTTCAGGAAGAATTAGTGTCCTCTCCGTACATCCAAGTCCCCATTGTTGGAGTTTTGGTTGCCCCTCACACCTGGGATGAGTCCTACCCCGGTGCCTCAGTTCCCTTACGAGTTACAAGGTGAGTGCTGTGTTCCTGCCTCCAGACTGGGGGCAGGGCTAGCCAAGCACAAAGAGAGTCCTTGTCCTTGAATAATGCAGTAGTGGGACTTCCGGCTGCCTGTCTTATTTGTTTTATAGGCTGGGAAGGCAAAAGAAGGGGCCTGAAACCTCTTGGAGATAGTTTGGTGCTGTCAAAAGAAAAAAAAAGATCATTGGGATGTTACATTATAGTTGGCTCCCACAATCTGTCGAATGGGCCCCGTGCTGAGTAGGCCGGAGGCATTCTGAAGGTCAGGTCTCCTGTGGGTAGGAAAGGCAGTCGTAGGGCAAGACTAAGAGTGTGGTCACTGTCCCCCCCCCCCCCCCCCCCCCCCGGTCTCCTCTCTGGACCGGAGGGAGGATTTTGACTCAGCCCGGGGGGCAGCTCCTGAACTCCCTAGTCCGGGAGGTTTTCCAGGAACACAGGGTTTCAGTGGCTGCAAGCCACCTTCCGCTAACCCCGGAAGGAACCTTGAAAAGTACAAAAAGAGAAGCTCAACGGATAGGGTCTGGTGAGCCTTTTGAGTGTCCTCTTGACCTCATCCTTGAAGCCTGCTGTGCCCATATCACGTAGGGTAAACTGAGACCCAGTGATAGCCAGTGTGAATGAGCATGAGGCTCCCCTCCCCTTGCCAGATACTCCCCCAGAAGATTCAGGGCTACATTTCCCTTGGTTAGAATATTCTGTCTTGCCATGGAAGGGAGCCCACAGCTGATGATATGGAGCCCAGCCTAGTTGGCCCATGGTTTCAGGGGCATGGGAAGATCGGTTCAGAAGGGACAGATGGCTTCCCAGGGGAAACATGGCCAGGCTTTGGGCCTTGCGTACTCAGTGTTAGAGCCACATGTTGTCCTGGCTGCTGGTGTCTCAAGGTCCCTGCTGTCAGTGTGCCTGTTATGTGTAAGTCAGTCATTGCAAAGAACTTTGAAACCCCACCACCACCACCATGATTCACATTTGGCATTTGGAGAGATGCAGACCCAGAGAAAATTATGTAAGGACTCACTGGCAGGTAGGAACACAAGCCTGGCTACCAAGTCCTGGCGAGGCTGTGCCCGTAAGCCAGCCTCACACAGCCTCTCTGCCAACATAAAAGGGAACTTATTAACAAGGTCAGGGTGAGGGGGCTGTGTGCTCCAGGAAGGACAGAAGATGCTGGCCCCCGCCTGTGGTCCAAGGTTCCAGATAAAAGATTAACAAACAAGGCTCTTTCCCCAGGCATCCGGCCTGCCTCAAGGACTGGGGGAGGAGGAGGGAGGAGGAGAGGGGCCCCTCCCAGATCCAGCCCAGTGCTTCTCAGGGTAGAAGGATCTGGGAACACAGCTACTGCATGTGGACTGGGTTGAGATGTTAGGTGGGCCAGGCTAGAGACTCTCTCATGGGCTGGGAGGGTCACCTTGCTGTGCCCATCTGTCCTCTGCTCCATCCTGAGCCTAGAGGACCAGGCTGGGTCGTGTGTGTGTTTTTCATATTAACATTAATCCCATTTGTTTCATTTTTTTTCTGTTGCTTTTCACTCTCTTGAAGATTTCCTTTCACATGGAACAAAAAAGTGCCCACGCCCCAGAGTTACTGAAGTAAAAGTTGTACCAGAGCTGCCCAGAGGAGCTACCGTCAGATGCATAGACATGACGGACTGCGGGATACCCTGTGTCCAGTGTCCAGGGGCGGTTCCCAGAGAGGGCTGAAAGTCACCTGCTGTCACCTTAGCTGGGTGCCTGCCTGGGAACATGGGGTGTCTTCACATTAGTTAGGAAGTAGTGTACCCGCTGAGGCTGGGCTTGGTGGGATGTTTTGAGCAGTGGAGGGGCAGATGGGCTTGATTCTTAGACCCTAGGCATAAGGAGTCTGTGGAGCATTGATGAGGAGTAACTGTGGGTCTGAAGATTAAGTTTGGAGGTCTATCTCTAAGTACCCTTTGTTTGTTTGTTTTTCCAAGACAGGGTCTCTGTGTATAGCCTTGGTTGCCCTGGAACTCTGTAGTTCAGGCTGTCCTCGGACTCAGAGCTCTGCCTGCCTCTGCCTCTCAAGTGCTAGGTCTAAAGGCGTGTACCAGCATGCCTGGCTCTTGGAAACGCCTTGAGCATCCCTTGAAGAGGTCTACTTGTGTCGCTCATGCTGGTCTTGAGCTCTCGGCCCTGCCTGCTCCAGCCTCCTGAGGGCCTGTGCCACTGCACCCAGAGAATCGCAGGCCTCAGACTTTGACAGCATTTATCTCTGCCTGCCCGGTGCCGTCTGTGCAATCATTTAAAGGCCACTCGAGGCTGAGGAAACCCAGGTGCCCACCCTGGTGTTTGCCTTGAGCAGACCTGTAGGCCTCAGCCTCCTCATCTAGAAGATGAGTTTACCCCAGAGCAGAATCTACTACTAGCCTTGCAGGCGCAGGGATGGGCAAAAGGAAGGTCCCTTGTGCTGTGGACTCGGGAGATGGAGACTGTGCATGTGTGTGTGCCTGCATGTGTTTCAGTACCTGTAGCACAATTAATAAGAACCCAGAGACAGGAATTGGGGTTCAACCTGAAGGTTAGAAAAGCAAAATAGTCAGCTACTGGCTCTTACCTCTACCTCAGTCCAAAGTGGCGACCCTGCCTCAGGAATCTCAGAACGAGACTGTGTGTGAGAGATGTCTCCTCCCATCTTATTTCCTCTCTAGGGCTGGGATTAAAGGCTTGTGCCACTACCAGTTTTGGCAAACTGGTCTCACTACTGGGATTAAAGATGTGTGTCACCACTGCCTGGTCTATAAGGCTGATCAGTGCAGCTGTTTTATTCTCTGAACGTTCAGACAAGTTTTATTTATTAAAATACAAATAAAATATCACTACAAGCACCTTTAGTCTGGAGTGCTTGAGACATGGCTTAAAGTCCTACTTGAGAGATGCAGTTCAGTTGGTGGAATACTGGCCTAGCATGCATGAAGCCCTGGTTTCCAACCCTGGCATGGCACAGACCCAGTGTGGTGGCACACCTAATCCTCTCACTGGAGAGGTGGAGGCAGAGGGTTAGCAGTTGATTTGCTACACTGTGAATTCAAGGCAGCCTGATGAGACAATGGATCAAGTTCCACTGAGGCAGGTTCTGTGAACCAGCCCTACCCTCCCAGGACCCAGTAGGGCACAATACCCATTTTGCAGGTGGGGAAGTCTGAGGCCAGCGTGAAATGTGGGCTGGAACTTGTTCTTGAATCAGATCCAGGAGCCCAAGTGTCTTCCCCTGCCCCAGTATGGGGGAAAAGTCTGGGGACTTGTTTTGGGGAGACACACCCAGCCAGGGCCACTTTCTCTGTGCTTGTTTAAAGGAAGTTGGGTCTACCTGAATAACACAAGGAGGGGCATATCCCCACTGTCCACCTCTGTCCTTTGCCCAAACTCCTCTATTTAACTTTTTTTATTTCTTTTTTTTTTTTTTTTCAAGACAAGGTTTCTCTGTAATGTTGGAGCCTGTCCTGGAAGCTCACAGACCAGGCTGTCCTCGAGCTCACAGAGATCCGCCTGCCTCTGCCTCCTGAGTGCTGGGATTAAAGGCGTGCGCCACCACCCCCTGGTTCTCTATTTAACTTTTGAAATGGAAGAACAGTGGTTAGGAGGCTGGACTCCACCCGCTGTGAGTTCCCTAGAGGGCTGGTAGAAATGCCGTGTTTGGGACCAGGACTGCCCTTGAAGCCTCTCCATCCTGGGTCTCCCTGAGTTTGCTTCAGGTTCTTCTCTCCACCTTGGCTATTTCATACCTTCTGCTCCGGGGCTGCCATCCCTCTGGGTAGACTCCACTAGAGGTGTTTTCCTGCTTTTATTTAGCTCTTCAGTTTGACAGAAGTTCCTGGGCTTCTGATAGCCGGTGTGGCGGGGCTAGTTGGCCCTCTTTCCTTGGTCGCCGTTGGTAACTTCGCCCTTCATCCCCCACAGTTGTGAGGCTCCATGACAAGGCAGGAAATCTGCCTTTTAAGATTCGTGACTGTGAGGTATACCAAGGCCTACAGCCGCTAGCTGAGGACAGGCACCCTGTCCCAGCAGAGCCCTCCCCACAGCACCGGATGTGGCTGCTGACAGACATAGTGTGAACCAAGTGGGGACATTGCGGTGCCCCACCCTCTCTGCAGCTAAGACATATTTAGGGGAAGTGGACCACGGGGTGGTTTCCTTGATGGGCCACAGACTTCTCTTCGTCCAGTCCTCTCGCATCGCTGCCTGGTGTTTCATCTGCAGGTGATGATACAAGCCCAGGGTAAGAAGTCCCCAGGTAATAAAGGCTGCCCTGAACTAGGTCCCCTGGCTCCACAGTCGGGGCTAGCCCAATTGTGGTACAGCCCCCATTGGGGCTGTAGTCTGTCATGGCCATCCTGTGTGGCAGATACTTGTGCTTCTGGACCCTTTGTGGTGAAGTTCTAGTTTATCAAAGCCCTGTGCTGGTGGGCCACTATGGATGTTGCTACCCACCCCCACCTCGTCTCTGTCTGGCTTGTGACCAGGCTGGTAGCAGGTGGTGAGGGTGGGCCTCTGCTCTGCCAGCTCAGCTGCAGAAGAATGCAGAAGTTGTGACTCTAAATTGAGGACTAGGAAGTGTTGGCTGCCTGGCATCCTGGGGAAGAGCCCTGGGCCTGGCTAATGTCTGCCCAGCCATGTCTACCACAGCTCCAAAATCCCATGTCCACTTCTCTGGCCAGGGGATAGATAGCGTGTTTCCACATTCCAGGATTCTGAAAAGGCAAAGCAGGAGCGGGGACCATGATTAGTCCATGAAGTCAGCTTCCTTCGGTCCTGCCCTGATGTCTGTGGAGACAGAGTTGATGTTTCATGGGGCGAGATGAGACCCTGGAATTAAGAGTTCAAATTATGGCCAGGTGGTAGTGGTGCATGCCTTTAATCCCAGATCTCAGGAAGCAGAGGCAGGTGAATCTCTGTGCGTTTGAGGCCAAACTGGTCTACGGAGAGTTTCGGCACAGCCAGGGCTACACAGAGAAACTCTGTCTCAAAAAAATAAAATAAAATTATGACCGTACCTGTGACAGCTAGTGACCCAAAGCCAGTGAAGCTAGTACGGGTCTTCATGCTCTCATGAGAAGCATTTTACCGGCCGAGCCAGCTTCTCCCTGGCTTTTCTGTGTCCCCGGTTGCCTCCTAACTTTTGCTATAATTTGTGGCTGTGCATTAGCATGCTTGTGCCTTGATGGGTGAATCTGCTTCTTGCTAGAGTGTGGATGCTTCCCAGATTGTGGCTGTCTCCAGGCTCTGAGGTGACCGTTCTGCTTCCAGGAATGGTGTGCATCACGTGAGCCCGCACACTCACCAGATGCCATCCAGGACGGCTTGACCATCACCGCAACCCAAAGAGTCCCTTTTCTGCCCCAAGGGGTGCTGGGTTTCGTCATCATCGTCATTGGTTGTGTCGGGACGGAACCCAGAGCCTTGATGTTAGGCCAGTGCTCTGGCAGGGTGTCACCCCCATCTCATTTGTTTCCATGGTGAACAGCCCTTGCAGCTGAGTCTGGTTCCTCACATTTAACCTCAACACTTGAGAGGCAGAGGCCTTAGGATCTCTGTGAGTTCAAGGCTAGCTTGATCCACAGAGTAAGTTCCAGCACAGCCATGGCTACACAGAGAAACCCTGTCTCAAAAAAACACAAAAACAAAGCAACATAAAAAAATAAATAAATCTTAGCAACCTTGCTGAGGGAGAGGTCAGCTGTCATTCAAGTTTCTTGGCTTGCTGTGTGGTAAGCATGTTTTTGTGGTTGCTAGCTATTATATCTCTTATATTCCTTGCTTACACATTAGCTCAATTTTAAAAGAAAATTCTGTGTTTAACTCTCATTGGTTAAGATCTCTTTGCAAATCAAAGAGATTGGAGTTTTGTTTACTTTCTAAATCTCTTTCCTTGTTTTGTTCGTCTGAGTTAATGTTTATCTTTGTTATTAGGAGAAACATCGCTTTTCCAGTCTGTCTCTCTCTCTCTCTCCCTTCCTCCTTTAGAACAATGCTTATCTAATCATTGTGTATTGGGGGCTGAGGCAGTTCCTCTCTTCCTCTGCTCACTGCACCCCAGCCTCACAGCCACCTCTTTCTCCAGGCACCTGTGCTCAGCTCCATCCGCCCCCTCGAGGCACCTTGCAAGTTGTCCGTGGAGATGGCACCTCACTGGGGACTGTGCTCATGTTCCACTGCCCCTCTGGACACCAGATGGTGGGGTCTGGCCTCCTCACTTGTGCCTGGAATGGGAGTGTCGCCGACTGGTCTTCAGGAAGCCCTGTATGCAAAGGTAACCGCCCCCCCCCTCCAGGTGCCCCAGCTCAGCTGCTGGTGGGCTGGTGAGATGGGGACCCCAAATACTGTTAACACTGAAGGCTGTTAATCATTGAGGATTCTTTTCCCCCTGTTGCCTACTACGGTGACTGAATACAGATGTCAGACCCAGGGGCTGGCTTCCATCCTGCCGCTGCCCTGACTCCTGAGGGGTCACTCATGTCATCTGTGACGAGGAAACAAACCCTACCCGCTTCCTTACCCACTCCCTTCATGAATGCCTCAGACATCCCCTGAAGGATGTTCTATCCTAGGTGCCAAGAATTCTAGGAATTGGGAGTGCGAGGGTCAGGGTTGTGCCAGCCCTGGATTCCCTGTCTCAGGGGAAGAAGGTGCACTTTCTGGTTGTCCAGCTGCATGTGTAGCGCAGGCAGAACCTGTCTTGAGTGTCCAGTGCCCATGTGCCAGGACCTGGTGGCTTTCTCCTAGCTGTGCCACCGCACGAGACCTTCGGCTTCAAAGTGGCAGTGATCGCCTCCATCGTGAGCTGCGCCATCATCCTGCTCATGTCCATGGCCTTCCTCACCTGCTGCCTCCTCAAGTGCGTGAAGAAGGGTGAGCAGCGGCGTGCCGACAGGTACGGTGGTAGGTGTCCTTCCAGGAGGTGGGCCTGTCTTTAGGGTTGCTGACCGCACCCGCTAGGTACCCTAGGGCAGTGTCTGAGGGTCCCACAGGCCCAATCTATTCTTGTGGGTACTGTGGCTCTTGTGATTCTGGGGCGTAGAGCTGGGCTGTGAAGGCACAGGACGTGTGTATGTGAGGAGGGGGTCTTTCTGTCTGTCTGTCTGTGTGTGTGTGCAGTTGGTCATGTATGAACATGGGTGCATGCATGTGGAAGTCACCAGACAACCTTGGGTGTCTATCCGAGATTTTCCCTTCTGTCCTTCTTGCCTTCCCTTAGGATTACAGACACTTGTATTATGTGTCCAGCTTTTTACCTGAGCTCTGCGGATTTGAACTCACCACGTCCTCATACTGCACAGCAAATGTTTCCCCCCACTGAGCCATTTCCCCGTCCACACACAGGGGGCACACAGGGAGCTTGCACACACATGTGACAGTCTATTGTGTCAGCGACATTTTGGACTGCCACAGATAGATGCTCCACCCATCAGATGGGCATCACTGTCCTCACAGATTGGGAGCCTAGGATGATTACAGGTGTGCACCACCACACCTGGCAGTTTCGCTGTGTTAAAATACACACACACACACACACACACACACACACACACACACAAATTCGCTGTGTTACTCACTGTTAAGGATGCTATTGGGGCACGTGCAGTGGCTCATGGGTAAAAGGCCCTGCTGTCAAGTGTGAGGATCTGAGTTCTATCCCTGGAACCAGACAGTGGAAGGAGAGAACTGACCCACAGATTGTCCTCTGATCTCCACACATGCCCTGTGGTGCATGTGCCTCCAGCCACAAAATAAAAACATAATTTAAAAATTTAGGACCCTGTATATGCTGTTCAGCACCGCAAAAACAAGTGAGCGAAGAAACTAATTCTTTAAAAGCAGGGCTGTTTGCTCTGTGTCTCCGCGCAGTGCTCAGCGGTCAACACTGCCTCGTGCTAGAAATGTCCACCTCTTGTCTGCGAAGCTGCTTTTCATTGGAGCCTATGTGCTTTTCTCTGCCCACGGCTGTTATATCCAATAGCCCAGGTGTCCCACTCCCATGCCTAGCGTGTCCTGCTGCTGTTCGCTGCCAGCCAGAGCCAAGATGAGCTGTGTGAGGTATTTCTGCATGTGCACAGCCGGGAGACGAGGAGCCCCTCAAGGTCTTTTATCCTGCACTCTCTCCTCCAGGACGGCACAGCTTTGGTACCAGCTGAGAGGCGAGGACCTGGAGACGGTACAAGCTGCCTACCTGGGCCTCAAGGGACACAACTGCAACAACAGCAGCAGCATCGGTGGTGGCGGAGGTGGTGGCGGCGGAGGCAAGCCAGGGATTCAGCACAGCCAGGCCCATGACAACCACAGCTTCGCCACGTGGGTTACCTTGGTCACAGACTGGGGGAATGTTAGGGGTACCCTTTCCCCAGCTCAATCTCTGCCAGGTCCTGGGACACTGGCCACCCCACATTCTGGGGACCTGGGTGCACCTACTTCTCTGGTGCCTCAACTCCCAACCCCAAAGCTGTTCTGTCATGCCCCACCTCGACCCGCAAGGAATGACGCGACCACCAGAGCTCTTCTCACTGCAGTTTATTCCAGGACTTTTTACACTTCTCTCTCTCTTCCCCTCTCTCCTCTCTCTTCCCTCTTCTTTGGGCAAACCTCTCCCAGCCCTTAAGTAGGCATGGGCTGCCAACCCCGAACTGCCAGGTGGGCACAGCCCATAGGTTCACGCATATGCAGGCAGCTGATAATCATTGCGTGATCACAGCATAGGTCAGGCCTTAGCCATCTCAGGAGTTGGTTATACATCTCCATCAGGTGTGATACCACGCAGCCCGCTACACTGTTCCAGTGCCCTGCCCTGACTGACATTCACCCCTGGCTATTGCTCTATCTAGTATGAGCACCTTGAGTTTAAACTCGGTGGGATGCGGTAGCTGGCACAGATCTTGTGTCCTCCGATCGTGCTGTCTGCTCTGCCAGAGTTACTTGCCTTCCTCTCTCTTGGGTCTCCATGTCCCCTCACTTTTTCTTTCACCTAGTTCCAGGTAGGCAGCAGCGATGGCTCTTTCTCTCTTGACATGCCAGTAAAGGCACAATCCTTCTTGGTCTCTCTGATAGTCTCCTGTAACCTAGGCTGACCTCAGGCTTGCTCTGTAGCTTAAGGACCTGAGGATGACCTTGAACTCCTAGTCTGCCCACCTTCACCTTCCAAGTGCTGGAATTACCTGTAGGTGCCACCATACTTGCTTTGTGCAATGGTAGGAATTGAACTTAGGGCTTTGTGCATGCTGAACGAGCACTCTTATCAACTTAACCATCTCCTCAGCCTTTTCTGACTCTAGGATCTGGCTGCCTGGATGGTAGGTAGAGTAGAAACCACCTGCAGGGTTGTGTCGCATTGGTGTGTCTGCCTTTGCACTCAGCATCTGGCCTCTGGGCTCTAAACGAGAGGAGGCTTCTGTCCTCTGTGATGTGCACGTCTGAGGTTCAGGCTGGAGGTCTCGTATAGATAGACACCCTGTCCTAATTAGAGTTTCTTATGACTGGTGAGACGTGATCAGAAAGCAAGTTGTATCATAGTCCATCACTAAAGTCAGGGCAGGAACTCAAACGGCAGGAACCTGGAGGCAGGAGCTGGTGCAGAGGCCATGGAGGGTGCTGCTTACTGGCTCGCTCCCTCTGGATTGCTCAGCCTGCCTTCTTATAGATGGCACCACCCACAATGGGCTGGGCCCTCGACATCAATCACTAATTAAGAAAATACCTTACAGCCAAGATCTTGTGGAAGAAGTTCCTCAGTTGAGGCTCCCTCCTTTCAGATAACTCTAGCTTAGCATGGTGGATGCTTATAACCCCGAGCCTCAAAGCCCCTGGCCTTGGGTTCCCAAGAAGAAGGGTGCTCTAGGCCTGGGGCCATCTGCCCCTCAGGCAAGGCCCACACTGCCTGGGTATTGAGCCGGCCTCTGCTCTTGCTGTTGGTACATATACTCTTAACAAGCCTTGCCGATATATGTAGTAGTGTTGTTCTAAATTCTTCCAGATGCTTGCTGCCTTCCTAAATGAGGGTATACTGAATTGTCCCCATTTGTTGTAATGTTAAAAAACTTAATGCTAGCTGGGCATCATAGCACACACCTTTAATGCTAACACTCCTTAGGCAAGAGGATCTCTGTGAGTTTGAAGCCCGCCTGGTCTACATATCTAGCTCTAAAACAGGGCTACGTAGAGAGGCTGGGCTGTTGTTCTCTATACTCTGAAGCAGCCCCAGAGAGTTCGTTTTCTCTGGGCGCTGGGCATGAGAGAGCTGGGGTCCAGGAAGAATTTGCTCTTGTTGCAGGCTTTCTGGGGGGGGGGGGACGTCTATTAGAAGGAGATGGCCCCTTGGGCAGTGGTCTAGCCTGAGTCTGTTAAGGTTCTGATTAAGTCCAGAGAAAAGCCTTCCTTCTCCAACACATGCCTCCTCTTCTCACAGAGACCTCAGCGACATCAGAGAGCAGGCTGATGTGGCCCGCAGTGTGGATAAAGACCCCTGGACTTTTGGGATGGGAACTCCGAGCCCTGGTGGCTCCTCCAGCTCTCCATGCACTTACGTGATGGTCCACGCGATGAACTCTGCAGGGCCGGCCCCTGGAATGCCTATGAGGCCCAAAGTCTACCTTCCAGGATGACCGTACTAACCAGAGGCCTGCAACTCAACACTTGCCCAGCTGGAGATGGGCCAGGGAAGCCACTTCCAGGTATAGGGAGCTCTTGGGAGCCTAGCTGACATTAAAGGCTGGGGCCCCAGCAGGGAACCGTCTGTCCCAGAGGAGACCTGTGGCTGTTACAGGATCCACTCATTGAACTGCTACGGGAACGAGGTCCCAGAGAAGCTGCGCCATGACCAGGGTTCTTTTACAGAGAATGAGAAATTTTAAGCAGATATAGTTTTGCATAATAGAATATGAAAATGTTAATAAAGTACTTTCAGCAATACAGGTGGCCGGCACCTCATTCATGGCCTGCAAGCAGGGACCCCCTGGACTTTCATCTGTAAATTGCAGGTGGGAGAAATAAATGTGTTTTCTTTGCATAAAAACACAAAGGTGGGCATGGGAGTGGTTCAGTTGGCAGAATGCTAGCATACAGAATCCCCTGCACCACATAAACCAGGTAGAGTGGAAAGAGGAGGATATGAGTTCAAGGCCATCCTCAACCACATACTAAGTTCAAGGCTAGGGGCTATAGGAGACCCTGTCTAAACTATAGAGCAGTGGTGCCCACACGCCTTTAATCCTAGCACTCGGGAGGCAGAGGCAGGCGGATCTCTGTGAGTTCGAGGCCAATCTGGTCTACAGAGTGAGTTCCAGGACAGGGTCCAAAGCTACAGAGAAACTCTGTCTTGAAAAAGCAAACCTCAAACCCGGTTGTCATAAACCTATCTTGTGTTCTCACTCTCTGGAGCTCTGAGCTTGTTGGAGACACTTAATAGTCTGATGACTTAAGCACACTGAGCACTGGTTACTTACAGGTCTGGGTTTGCTGCTGGCATTCAGGGAGAACCTTCTCCATTTCATAGCCCCCTCCCTCAAGGTTCCTCACAGCTTGGAGACTGGTTTCCAAGGTAAGCTCCAGGTAGAAGCTGTGGTTGCCTTGAAAGTCACTTTTTTTCTGTCTACGGGCACTTGTACTCATGTGTACATATACATAATTTTAAAACAATTTTTTTACATACTCGTATCCTCCCACAGTTTGGGTTATGACCTGTCTCTAGCCATTGAGAAAATTTAGTTTGTCTTGTATCCTTCCTGTGTGTTTGAGCCATGAATAAGAACCTGAAGAAGTAGTCAAGAGGAAGCTGGAGCAGCTGTCCTTGCCTGCTAAAACCATGGTTATATTTTCTTGCATAACAGTAATCATGTACCTGATAGAAGTCACATTGTCCTTCTGATGAATGCCCCATAATTTACATTATATAAAAATATATTTTCTACACACATTTATAATGTAAATTATATATCCTGGCTAAAAAGACACCGGATGTTTGATATTCCCAGGTGTCACACATCTTTGTCCTGATGACCTCGTGTGCTGCAGATTTCCAGGGTCGGAATCCAAGCCAGCGATGTGTCGGGTGGCAGACTCAGAAGTGCTCTCCCTGCTCTGCTGGTGGTGGAGAGCAGTGTTCTGAGGGTCCATCCTCAGTACATTCCAGGGTAGGGGTGTGTGGATTAGAAATGTTAGAAAAATACATAAGAAGAAAGACAGGGACATGGGATAGAGTCGGTTAGGCAGCCCAGTGAATACCAAATCTGCCCACGTTTATGTTTCATCGGCTTTATATAGCCCAATCCAAAGAGGAGGGGAAAACAAAAGACTACCTTTCCAAAATGCAAGGAACAAGCAAAGTGATTAGCTTCTCAAATAACCAAAGCATCAAGTAACCAGTTAGGTCAAAACATCCTGTTAGTAGCCACACTCCCAGTCAAACCTCCTGTCAGTAACCCTGAGGGAGCAGGAATAGGCCTGAACTCTGACCTTTTGTCAAGGTGGAAGGAATCTACGCATGGGTTCCCACACTCAACTTCAGGCTGGGTCTGCCTCGCTACAATGGATCTCGACATTGGTCAGAAACAGCCCAGCTTTTCCCAGAACTTCGCCCACCAACTTGGACTTGGACAGCAAACGACTGTTCGGCTAAGTTTCAGTCCCTGTTTCCTGGTAGTAATCAGGATGGCAGAGGGTGGACACCCCTCCATGTGGGTACATAAAATTTTTTTAAAGATTTAATTTTTTTTGGGGGGCTGGAGAGATGGCTCAGCGGTTGAGAACATTGTCTGCTCTTCCAAAGGTTCTGAGTTCAATTCCCAGCAACCACATGGTGGCTCACGGCCATCTGTGGTGAGATCTGGTGCCCTCCTCTGGACTGTAGACATACACACAGACAGAATATTGTATACATAATAAATAAATAAATTAAAAAAAAAGATTTAATTTTTTTAAATGTGTATGAGTGTTTTGTCTGTATGTATGTGAATGGACCATATGTGGGCCTGGTGCCCACAGAGACCAGAAGAGGGCAGTGGATCTCCCTGGAGTGGCACTTAAAAGAGTTGTGAACTATGTGGGTGCCAGGAACTGAACCCAGGTTCTCTGCAAGAGCAGCGGGTGCTTTAAGGCCCCAGCCTCTTTTTATTTTTTTAGTTGAAGGCATTTTTTCACTAATTTGGCTCACTTGCCTTGCTCAACTCCTTCTTCCTCAGTTTCCCAAATGGCTGGGATGATAGTCATAAGTCATCAGGAACTTTACTATTTGATTTTTAGTTTGTTTTCGAGATGGGGGGTCTTACTGCCTTGCCCAGCTGGCCTCCAGTTTGTGTGTTTGAGAGACTGCCCTGCTTCAGACTACCAACTAGCTGGTATCATCCTCACTGTGTGACAACAGAGCTAGCCCAGCTCCCCACCTTTTAAAGTTTGTTTGTTTGCTTATTTATTGATTTTTGAGGCTGGGTTTCTTGAAGCTCAGGAAGCCCTGAACTGAAGTTGACACTGAACTGCTGATCTTCCTGTCTCTACCTTCTCCCAGCATTCTGTTTAGTTTTCCCCACCTAGCTCTGTTTCCCTATAGCTCTGCTATAGGCCGAAAGCAGCTTCTTTATTCATTAATGGTAATCACAGCACACATAGGGCAATCCCACATCACTTGCATGTACTGTAGAACACTTCCCTAGTTATCTTGTAGCGCCCTCACTTCAGCCAGCTCTGTGCTCTGATGTAGTCCAGTGGGAGAGCACACGTGAGTCTACACAAGGTCCTGTGTTTGTCAGCACCATGTGTGCGTGCATGCACAAGACGACAATTGTTTATCTTTGCTGGCTAGTGCGTGTTTAAACTTGCAAGATGACCACTCCATGGTATGGTTAAAGGGGAGATTTTTATTGTAAATATGAGAGAAAACAGAGGCATCTGGAAAAGTCTAAAGCAGAGAGAAAAAGTAGACTGAACATGGCCAGCAGACTGGACCTGGCCAGGGCTATCTGTGAGACAGGAGAATAGAGGAAACAGTGAGAGAAGACAGAACAGAGCAAGAGAGTGTGCACACATTGTAAGAAATAGCAGGATTATAAGGAGAATGAGGAGTTGGGAGGGAAGCCCATGAGCTGGATGGGGTTTAGGGGAGGGGAGGAGATGAGAAGGGTTAGGATGCTAGCTAGCATGGACTTTGGAGTGTGGAACAGGTACTTGTGATACTGAGGGAGCCTGGAAGCCAGCATGAGCTTTGATATGCTGACAGGAAGCACAGATAGCCATAACTCCCTTCTGCCAGAGGTAAGGGAAATGACTCCTTTTGGTAGATGGGAACTAGTTTCACAAGTTCTTGAGGGATGCTGGCTTTTACCTAACCATCAGAAATCCTATAGTTCAGGTTGAGCTCATTGGGCTTCCTTTTGCAGTCTGGGGAACTTGAGTTTTCTTTGGAACAACCATTGAAGCTTTTTGTTAATGAAAAGTGGTGATGTAGTCTCTTCTGTACCAGCTTCTCAGCTGAAATTAGGATGTTGTTGGGGCCCAGGAGTCAAAGGTCGGTGGGGGAGGGGATTCAGGCCATGGTAGGGGACATCTGTCAGAAGCATCTCATTTGCTGACCCAACCTGAAGAGACAGGGAGCAGTCTCATAGGCTTTACATAGGCTTCCAGCAAGTCCAGGGCCTGTCAGTTCATACCTGGGGCTAACATGTTGCAGGCCATTTTGGAGCAGCCTTCAGGTCACAATGGATTCCTGGATGGTGTCTGTCAGCTGAGTGGAAATTTTCTGGGACAGATATACACTAGGGACTGAAGGTAAAGTTCAGGAGCTTAGGGGAAAATCTTTATTTTGGGTGTGTACTGTGGTCTCAATAGTTGGGGGTATGGAAGGGTCCCAAGACTGGGGGAAGGGAAGAACCCACCCTCAGGGATAGGCAGTGGGTGGGAAAGCTTAGGCTGTTGATGACAGGAGGACTTACCTGGAATCAGTTTCGCCTGTGACAAGTGGATCTCCAAGTCGCGACTCCCTGAAGCTTATATGAGCTTTTTCACGTCTATGAAAAGATAAAAGTTTTAGATGTATTAGCATGAACACTGTCTACAATCTGCACTGAAGTCCTCACTGTTGAAAAAGCAATTGACAGTGTCTATAAACAGCTGTAGTAGACTCACACCTTGGAGTCAGCAGAAGTTTGAAGACCCAAAAGGATATAGTTCTGTGTTAAAAGCATAAACAGAGGGCTGGATATATGTTTGCAGCGCTATGGGAGGACTTTTAAGTCTACATTTAGAAAACCACCAAAGGAAATTTAAAAATGTGAGCCTGTGATTATGATAATAGTAGCGAGAGCTTTAACCAAGGCTAGATTAATAACTCATCAGCACTACATTGATAAATACGTTAAACTCTGAACTTTTGGGGCCTTAATATCATGTATCATCTTTAATTCTCTTTTTTTCCACATAGCTTAATTTGCTTCCTTAGATCCTCACAATTTACATAAATTCTAAACCTTTTTTTCCACTCAATCATTTACCACAGTGTCATAGGTAGTTGGCTATCGAGAGCAGTCATTGAAAAGCAAATTCCTTTTGTAAGAAGAATTCTTAAGACAAGCCTCTCCGCCGATGCAAATAATTCCAATCAGACCAAATTAGACTGAATAAAAGATACCCATGTTTAATGCAGCGCTCCCGGGTGGCCAGGAAAAGCATGGCGAGGGGAAAGAGAGCAGGGAAGACCACGCAAGGCCCAGAGGCCACGCGTGCCTTTTCTGGGGCGGCAGCCTAAATAGCCTGTGGGAGTGGTCCACCGTTTGGTGGGCTTTTTTTTTTTTTTTGACCCTCCCTGGGGAGGGGGGGTCACTGCTTGGTGGGCTTTCCTGGAGGTGGAGTCCTGACCAAGGCAACTCCCATGGGGAGGGGACTTCCAAAGGTGGATGCCGGGTATTACACCTTTAAATAGAGGA